CTTTTTAAACTATGTGTAATAATATCATGAAAAGAAAATTAGGGGTTAGTGGGGAAAATTTTTTAATGGCACTACATCGATAAAACTAGAGGATTCCGAATATCTGGCAAAAATTCAAAAACAAGAGAAGCGAACATCCTTAATTTTGTTTTTATTCGAGCGTCCCTGTTGAGTTTTTTTTAGACGAAACGTGCGTCTGACGTACACAATTATTAGTATGGTATCTTTGACGAGTGTTTTTTATACACATTGTTTGTTTTATTTATTCTGAGAAATTGCATGATAGGCCTTAGCAACGAATAAGCAGACTCAATATTGGTTTGATCAGTCTGTACCAGGCATGGGGCGAAAACATTGCAATGTAATGCATCACACTACAATTACTTGGACAAAACCAGCATTTTATTACAATTACAATTACATGTATTTTGGAAAGAAATACATTACATTACAATTACTTTACTAAGGTAATGCATTATATTACACATTACATTTTATAAATTTTATTATCAAAAGAAACATATATACAACATTTTATACTGCAGTCTTGGTAAGTATTAAATAGGTATTTGAAAAATCCTTTCATTGTCCTATTAGACCAAATGTCAACAATCAAATAAATGCGATCAGCTTCCTGAAGATTGTCATACAATTTTTGACGTACATCCTTGGCCTTAGTCTGTATCAATTTAGATGAAATATGTTTCTGGCTTGGAATTTTAGGTTAAGATTTTAATAAAGTTCTTAAAGTTTTGACTTTCAACTGTTGAAAATGGGAGTAAATCACTTTTAGCAATATATTAAAAAAGTGAATCTGTAGCTTTGTTTTGCTTTGGGTCATTTAATTGATATTTCTGATAACCAGATGGTTTTACAAAATTTTCCAAGGTTGATTGTTCATCTGGATCAGGCTTTTGATATTTTGAAGTATACAACTCTGTGTTTTCTCAAAAAAATTCAACTTATTTTTTCATCTTTAAATATCTATGTATAGGTTTTTCAATGACTATAATGGTATATGAAAATGACTGCAAATAAAAAAAAAAACCAATATTATTTTTGTATGTTCATAAAATAGATCTGTTTTAATTATTAGTGTAAATGTTTTAGTATTAAGTTTAGATGAAGAAAATCATTAGTGTTACAACAGTTCAAATTTACACTTCTTGTTAATCATTTAACTATAAATTGATTTGTTTTTAATTTTCCTATTTTCTTAAAGGAAAGAATAAAACAGTAGGTACTTATTATCCTTGAAATTTGTAGCAATATATAGAACTATCAGACAAGAAGTAAAGCCATGTAATGCATAAATTACATGTAATTTTGCCAATGTAGTGCATTACATTACAATTATATGTAATGCCAAAATTTGGGCATCAAACATTACATGCATTACTTGGGGAATTGTAATACATTACAATGCATTACAATTACAAATTAGCATTACCCCATGCCTGGTCTGCACAAACCAATATATTGTTTTCTAATTACCATTTCACAAGTCACGTTCTATACCCAATTGTTTTGACACCAGACACATACTGTTTTATTTATTGCCAGACATACTTTGATAGACCTTGACAATGTCACCAGCCATTTTCTATACCGTATTAGTATTGATGTACTGACACCAGACACATACTGTTTTCTTTATTTTCAGAACACTTTGATAGACCTTGACAATGTCACCAGCCATTTTCTATACCGTATTAGTATTGATGTACTGACACCAGACACATACTGTTTTCTTTATTTTCAGAACACTTTGATAGACCTTGACAATGTCACCAGCCATTTTCTATACCGTATTAGTATTGATGTACTTACACCAGACACATACTGTTTTCTTTATTTTCAGAATACTTTGATAGACCTTGGCAATGTCACTAGCCATTTTCTATACCGTATTAGTATTGATGTACTGATACCAGACACAATCATACTGTTTTCTTTATTTTCAGAACACTTTGATAGACCTTGACAGTGTCACCAGCCATTTTCTATACCGTATTAGTATTGATGTACTGACACCAGACACATACTGTTTTCTTTATTTTCAGAACACTTTGATAGACCTTGACAATGTCACCAGCCATTTTCTATACCGTATTAGTATTGATGTACTTACACCAGACACATACTGTTTTCTTTATTTTCAGAATACTTTGATAGACCTTGGCAATGTCACTAGCCATTTTCTATACCGTATTAGTATTGATGTACTGATACCAGACACAATCATACTGTTTTCTTTATTTTCAGAACACTTTGATAGACCTTGACAGTGTCACCAGCCATTTTCTATACCGTATTAGTATTGATGTACTGACACCAGACACATACTGTTTTCTTTATTTTCAGAATACTTTGATAGACCTTGGCAATGTCACTAGCCATTTTCTATACCGTATTAGTATTGATGTACTGACACCAGACACATACTGTTTTCTTTATTTTCAGAATACTTTGATAGACCTTTGCAATGTCACCAGCCACGTTCTATACCGTATTATATAGTATTGATGTACACGAGATACATACTGTTTTTTGTTCTTTCAGAAATGATACTTAGATAGATTTTGGCAATGTTACCAGCAACAGTTTGCTCTATACCGTATTACATGTAGTAGACTTGTGATGTAATGTTACCAGCAACAGTTTGCTCTATACCGTATCACATGTAGTAGACTTGTGTTGTAATGTTACCATCAACAGTTTGCTCTATACCGTATCACATGTAGTAGACTTGTGTTGTAATGTTACCAGCAACAGTTTGCTCTATACCGTATCACATGTAGTAGACTTGTGTCGTAATGTTATCAGCAACAGTTTGCTCTATACCGTATCACATGTAGTAGACTTGTGTTGTAATGTTACCATCAACAGTTTGCTCTATACCGTATCACATGTAGTAGACTTGTGTTGTCATGTTACCAGCAATAGTTTGCTCTATACCGTATTACATGTAGTAGACTTGTGTCGTAATGTTATCAGCAACAGTTTGCTCTATACCGTATCACATGTAGTAGACTTGTGTTGTAATGTTACCAGCAACAGTTTGCTCTATACCGTATCACATGTAGTAGACTTGTGTTGTAATGTTACCAGCAACAGTTTGCTCTATACCGTATCACATGTAGTAGACTTGTGTTGTAATGACACCAGATAAATAATGTTTTCCTTTTTCAGAAGTACTGGGATAGACTTTATCAATGTTACTAGCCATGTCCCATACAGTATCAGTATAGATGTTATATTTCAGAAGTACTGGGATAGACTTTATCAATGTTACTAGCCATGTCCCATACAGTATCAGTATAGATGTTATATTTCAGAAGTACTGGGATAGACTTTATCAATGTTACTAGCCATGTCCCATACAGTATCAGTATAGATGTTATATTTCAGAAGTACTGGGATAGACTTTATCAATGTTACTAGCCATGTCACATACAGTATCAGTATAGATGTTATATTTCAGAAGTACTGGGATAGACTTTATCAATGTTACTAGCCATGTCCCATACAGTATCAGTATAGATGTTATATTTCAGAAGTACTGGGATAGACTTTATCAATGTTACTAGCCATGTCCCATACAGTATCAGTATAGATGTTATATTTCAGAAGTACTGGGATAGACTTTATCAATGTTACTAGCCATGTCCCATACAGTATCAGTATAGATGTTATATTTCAGAAGTACTGGGATAGACTTTATCAATGTTACTAGCCATGTCCCATACAGTATCAGTATAGATGTTATATTTCAGAAGTACTGGGATAGACTTTATCAATGTTACTAGCCATGTCCCATACAGTATCAGTATAGATGTTATATTTCAGAAGTACTGGGATAGACTTTATCAATGTTACTAGCCATGTCCCATACAGTATCAGTATAGATGTTATATTTCAGAAGTACTGGGATAGACTTTATCAATGTTACTAGCCATGTCCCATACAGTATCAGTATAGATGTTATATTTCAGAAGTACTGGGATAGACTTTATCAATGTTACTAGCCATGTCCCATACAGTATCAGTATAGATATTATATTTCAGAAGTACTGGGATAGACTTTATCAATGTTACTTAGCCATGTCCCATACAGTATCAGTATAGATGTTATATTTCAGAAGTACTGGGATAGACTTTATCAATGTTACTAGCCATGTCCCATACAGTATCAGTATAGATGTTATATTTCAGAAGTACTGGGATAGACTTTATCAATGTAACTAGCCATGTCCCATACAGTATCAGTATAGATGTTATATTTCAGAAGTACTGGGATAGACTTTATCAATGTTACTAGCCATGTCCCATACAGTATCAGTATAGATGTTATATTTCAGAAGTACTGGGATAGACTTTATCAATGTTACTAGCCATGTCCCATACAGTATCAGTATAGATGTTATATTTCAGAAGTACTGGGATAGACTTTATCAATGTTACTAGCCATGTCCCATACAGTATCAGTATAGATGTTATATTTCAGAAGTACTGGGATAGACTTTATCAATGTTACTGTCCCATACAGTATCAGTATAGATGTTATATTTCAGAAGTACTGGGATAGACTTTATCAATGTTACTAGCCATACAGTATCAGTATAGATGTTATATTTCAGAAGTACTGGGATAGACTTTATCAATGTTACTGTCCCATACAGTATCAGTATAGATATTATATTTCAGAAGTACTGGGATAGACTTTATCAATGTTACAAGCCATGTCCCATACAGTATCAGTATAGATGTTATATTTCAGAAGTACTGGGATAGACTTTATCAATGTTACTGTCCCATACAGTATCAGTATAGATGTTATATGAATGTTTTGGGCAATGTTGTTTCATGATTTGTTTTTCTTACGAAATACTTTGATAGACCTTAGCAATGACACCAGTCACATTTTTCACCGTATTAGTATTTATGTTTCATCAGTTTTCTGGACAATGTTATGTTCATGATGTTTTTTTTTTCTTCAGAAATACTTTGATAGACCTTAGCAATGACACCAGTCACATTCTTTTACGTATTTGTATTGATGTTACCTGAATGTTTTGGAAAATGTTATTTTGGCAAAAACCAAACACCTGTCAAGTATAAGTTTGCTGTAGGTGAGTAGACAAGTATAACTTTGTTGTTGTTGAGTTGACAAGTATAACTTTGTTGTTGGTGAGTAGACAAGTATAAGTTTGTTGAAGGTGAGTAGACAAGTATAACTTTGTTGCAGGTGAGTAAACAAGTATAACTTTGTTGTAGGTGAGTAAACAAGTATAAATTTGTTGCAGGTGAGTAGACAAAATATATAACTTTGTTGTAGGTGAGTAGACAAGTATAACTATGTTGTTGGTGAGTAGACAAGTATAACTTTGTTGTAGGGGAGTAGACAAGTATAACTTTGTTTTTGTTTAACTTCGTTGTGGGTGAGTAGACAAGTATAACTTTGTTGTAGGTGAGTAGACAAGTAAAACTTTGTTGTTGGTGAGTAGACATCTATAGAAATAGTTGACGTATTAACACAGATTGGATACACGTTATCCATCGTTCCTTTAGTTGATTGATGAAACTAATTTTGTTTGAAACATCATACATCTGGTTCTAAATGTTCAATCGACAGTTCAATACAAACTTAAATGAATATGAAATATGTACTCAATTGTCTAGTATGTATGCATTGTCTGTATGCATACAGTGGATGGAATGTTTGTATTGAATATGAACCATGGACAATAAAATAAATTTAGATTCTTCTGATATTATGTTTTGGTAATTTGCCTCCAATTTCAATCCTTTTTTTAAAAACACCTCACGTTTGCTTCTAGTGAGCATGTTCAATGTTTTAATTTATGTGTTCCCTATGCATATACAATTTCTTACAGTGATTGTTCGTATAATCAATACTAAATGTGAGTCGTGTTGTTATTGCATAAACCACCTGAGGGGTTTACGCCTATAATCCGTGGGTTTTGGTAGGTTCTATGGGTCATTCTGATATCATCGGAAAGAAGATTCTCGGAAGGTCCTGAAAATATTCGATCATTTATACAGTCAGGTAGTTATCTATGTCTTTGATACGGTCCATCGATGGATATGATACCACGTGACATTGTATATTTCAACAATCAAAGTTTATTTATAGATCGGAAAGTTGTAAAGTTAAGACTAGTTTGCAGTAAAAACAATTATATATTCCAACCTCTTTGCCTTTTGACAAAACATATGCGTTTTAATGTGAAGAGTATTTTAAAATATCAAGTACAATGATAACGAAATTATATATTTTTTGAGACGGTCCCCATTACGCATTGCTTGTGTAGTATTTAATACAACGTGCTGATGTGCATTGTGATAATAAACCTGGGAATAATATACTTTCAACTATATTACATGTATGTTCCAGAATACATCCATTATTTCTGAACGTTTACCACGTGATACTTTGAAATTCCATAATATCCTGAGATAAGATCGGAAAGCAAGAAGAAACAAAACGAAATATCTATCTCAGATCGGAAAGCAGAAAAATAATTAAACATATAGATATATTTGTCAAAAATATTTTATTTCATCAATAGAGGGAATATATATAGAATTTACAGAATATGATTAATATATTGTTACAGTATATCAATTCCAACAGTGAATACATTTACACTAATTATAGACAACATGTGAGCACCAAGTGAGGGATGCACATAAATAAATCAGTATCTAAACTGTAGTTTAAAAAATAGTTGCATGGTTTTAATTCACAAGGATTTTATTTCCCTGCATCTCACTTAAAACGTAATTAATACTTTACAATAATCAATAATCATTTAATTCTTATATCAATTATTTTATACCGCTCTAGTGTGGTTTTGTAAGTATCTGCCTACATTTTGTATATCAATACATTCATAAAATGGAAAGTTGGAATTAAAGAAGAGATTAATGTGTTGATAAAAATGTCCATCAGTAAATACTTGATTTGAATTTTCGGAAAAGATTTATTGTATGTTACTAGTAATTGAATTTCATTTTTTATTTCTTTTTTAATAGTTCAACCTTATAGTATCTAAATCTTTGCAATATGGTGCGATTTTGAAAATTATATGTATTGTATTGACCAGCTATCCTGCACACGCCTTTGTGCTTTTACATTATATTACACTCTGGTCACACGATATGGATTTGACAACAATATCGATCGGTTTGCAATTAATCGGGAGTCAAACCACTATAGGCAGGTAGTTTGACATCTGAATTCAACACATTAAATTTGAGCCTAGAATACATAACTATGATAACGCAAATGTATATTCTAATCCAGAATATCAGTGCGTTTACTCTACATTTACTATTTCTTGACACAAAAAAACAACAAAAAAACAAACAAAACATGTGCATATGGCACGCCTGAACCACTTTTATAGATAATCCTAGATTATCTCAGATAAACTAGGATTATCTCAGATAAATTAGGATTTTCACTTGAAAATTGGGAATTTTCGCATTTCTCAGTTCTTAATTCAGGACACGGCAGTAAGAGCTTGACATGTGACTTTGGAACACGGTCATCATTTAGGTATTCTGACCTCTAGTTGTTTCTCTTTTGTTTGTTTTGTTTTTGAATGACAGTCCTATTGACCTTATCCAAACATATTCTTTTATATAAATTGGGTCTTTTGAGACCATGCGCTCTTCACATGGAAATTGGACTTTCAAATGTTTTAATACCATCTCTACCATGAGTAAAGACAGCTCTAATAATGAGTTAAAGAATAATTGAAGGCATCCGGGAAACAAAATATGAAGATATGTAGGATAAAACAAATCCATTCAGGTTATAAAGCAAATTGAGGGCTGAAACTTATATTGCGATTGGTCTGTGCTATTGTCTTTAGACATCCAGTTTCCAGAAACTGGGAATTGCAATTAATAGGATTATGCCTTTGTATATATAACAAGAAGAACAAATGATGTACACTCCCAAGTAATAATAAAATAGTCAATTTAAAAGGTAAATTCATATATTAGCTGGTACAGACTACACTTTTCTATTTGCAACTGAAATCCAACGGTGCTTTTAATCATGAAGGTTATAGTGAGCCCTAACATTTAAAAGTTGTGACTTGCCATGAATTCCCAGACTGTTATTTGACTTGTGCAAGAATCTACACACAATTACCTATTTTTCAATAAAGGTATTTTAACATCATCATTACCATATTCATATATTTACATTAAATCATTTTAAATCCGGCAAAAGAAAAAATATTCGGCAACATTTTTTTTGATAACCCACATTCTCGGGTTTACGAATTGCTTTTTTTTTTTTTTAAAGAAAGCATCTTGTTTTTTAAAATTGTTTCTGTATTATGAAGTGGATACATACTTCTGGACGAGTTCGGTAACTTTTCCCTGATTTATTCTTTGATAGTTTAAACATATTTTATTATTCATAAAACCAAACAAACGGATGAGAGACAAGCTTTACAACTTACATGAGTTACATTATTTAAGTACAGTGTCTTCTGTTAAGGAATACTTCCTTAGCTCTCAGAACTATCCTAATGCAATGTCAACAATTTTATCAACTGTTAATACAATAACAGATATTAACAGAATACTCATTCATCAAAGAGTACTCACATATTTTTGTTTTCATTTCCATAGGTATTTTAAGTCCCTCGACTGGATTGATCCCCTTACAAGAATTTGTTGAAAAGAATATACAAAGTAACGATACAGAAGTGATTGATTGTTACAGTTCTATCAGTATAGTAAATATTAACGTCCGAGATAATCTGACCATACAGGAGAATGGATGGACTAACATCAAAGATGGACTTTACAAAAGTATGTATGGAACAGAACAGTTTAGACAATGAATTTTCATATATTTGTACTACAATTAAATAAGAGTTACACATAATATTAATAGTATGACAGTCAATCTTTGCAGGATCACATTGCATGGACACTTGGTTTATGTGTCAGGTACACGGATTTTGGTCATAAGCAGTTTAAGTTTAAATAATCACAAACTGTATTGTCTTTGTACTGAGCAAAAACATATCTGAATCCATGTAAAGACAATTAACTGTAGTCAGTATCATTTTTTATGAACAAGAACGCATGAAATTTATAAAATGTTGTTTCCAATGATTTACCGTCTGGTTGTACTATGGTTACACTGTCAATGTATCATAAGATTCATCTGACCAATGGGCAGTTTTGTTATACACGAGAAAATCACAAGCGACATAAAAGTAAATACGGTGACCTATAGTTGTTAATTTCTGTGTCATTTGGTCTCATGTAGAGAGTTGATTGGCAATCATACCACATCTTCCTATTTTTATATATACGACTTAGTTCATAATTTTTCCGTGATGTGTTACACAAGGAGTGAAAGTTCTCTTTCTTAATATGATGGAAATCGGGTAAGATAGTTTGTATGTGTATAATACGTATAAATATCATATGTTTTCTGTTTACGGTGTAAAATTTACAAAGAATGAAATGTACTTGTATGCACAATTATGTTACAATTCTTTGCTCACATCAAAGAAATATCGAATAGCATATCATGAATTTGAGTAAGAAGACAATTTATAAGCTAAATTTGTTTTTTTATTGCACCCGCCGTAGACGACGGGGGCATTAGGTGTTACCCTTGCCCGTCCGTCCTTCCGTCTTTCCGTCCCATTTTCGTTTGTTTGAAGCTTGAGCGGGAGCATTCGTGTCCTCAAACAGTCTTCTTTTCTTTCTGTAACCAATAAAAAATCTTATTGAATTATCTTTCTTCTCAATTAACGAATTAACAAACAGGGACTGACCAGGATACTTGTGACCTTGTCTATATATTTGCATCAATTATTTCGCAACATTAATAAGATTGAAAGTTCTAAGGTATTGTACTACATCTTTAAGCGCAATTATAATATATTTCGATAAGTACATATATTTCTATTACCTAGCCCTGTTTTGAATTTCCGAAATTTTGTGTAGTCAGAACTGGGTGTTCTCTCATTACTTTCAATTTGATAAAGTCACAAACAGAAACATATAGCTGACATTCAAGACCATTAAAGCGTTCATTTTCACGGTACACAGAGGAATCGTTTAAGCAATTATCTGTTAGGGTATCACCCGCACAATAGTCAGTACATTTGGGTTGACATGAAATATCATTGATATTCATTTATTTGTTAATTTACAATTTACAAATGTTGAATTAACTTTTCAGAATTTTCAGTATTTAAAGCTCTAAAACTTCGTATTTGATTAGGCTTTCTAACTGTTTGAATTCGAGCTGCACTGGTGAGTCTTATATCTCTACGAAACGTCCGTCTGGCGTACACAATTATAAGCCGGGTATTTTTGTTGAGTTTTCATATATAATTTTACAATACTGTTGATTGAGAATCAACCAGACCTACATCATAATTCACTGGGGGAAGGGGCTCGTGTAACTTTAGTAACAAGCATCTCAAGATGAAAAAGTTGAAAATTAAAAACTATTTTTACGTTTGTTTTATTCTAAATTCAATACCCCGTAAAATCCTAAAATAAACTGATTTCAGACACTCTCAATGCAAATTAATCTACATGAAATAATATAGTCCGAGTTTAAATACAAAGATAGCAGTTAAACGACCAAACTCATGTTACTCATGGGATCGTATAGTATGCGGGTCTGGATTGGGGTTCTTCATTTTTGCATTATTTGATTTATCAGGTCATTTTTCTCTTTTTTTATATTTTAATCTCCCCATTATTCTCTATTCTTAATTGATTTGCCTATTTCTCTCTTTTACTCCTTATTTGATAAATTGTAACACCCTCATTAATCTCTATTCTTAATTGTTTTGCATATTTCTCTCTACTTCTTATTTGATAAATTGTAACACCCTCATTATTCTCTATTCTTAATTGTTTTGCCTATTTCTCTCTACTTCTTATTTGGTCAATTGTAACACCCTCATTATTCTCTATTCTTTATTGTTTTGACAATTTCTATCTATTCTTTATTGTTTTGGCCCATTTGTGTAGTATTGTTCCATTATACCATATTGTGTAAACCCCATCCAAACCCTCATGGTATTATACAAACTAGCCATGATGATTATGATCCTCTTTTTCAGCTTTAAAAATCCAAGCTAATGATAAAGCTGAGACTGGTGTCAGTGTGGTCATTGGACCGTATTATACAAACCTAGCCATGATACTGGAACAAGAAAACATACCGTATGTCATCACCCAGGACAAAGGATTTGATTACGTTGACGAGACCCGAATTGAAGATCATGTCTCGTGGTCCAACCTGTTGGAGGTGACACCTCCAGCTGAACAACTTAATCAAGCAATAGTTGATCTTTTCCTCGCTTGGCAAAATAAAACTGCAGTTGTAGTTTTACCAGATGATCCTAAAATAAATGACGGTAGATATATCCACCTTTAATTTCTATTGCTTATGTATTGAATACCAAGTCAAACGTGCATCTACCTTTTGAAACTGATTTTTAAAGTTTGCTCCACCACTGTCCCGTTTAGAGGGTTGGGCTCTCACAAACATGTCTAACCCTGTCACATTCTTTATTAGCCTGTCCAAAGCCATGAGCCCGTGATTCAGTGGTTGTCGTTGGTTCATGTCTGTCATATTTGTTTTTCGTAGATTGTATTGTTGCAAATTAGGCCGTCAGTTTTCTCGTATGAATTGTTTCACATTTTTCATGTAGAGGCCTTTTATAGCTGGCTATACGGTATGAGTTTTTGTAATTGATGAAGACCATGCGGAGACCTATAATTGCTTACTAAAGTATTTGAAATCTGGTGGATAGTTCTCTCATTGGCAACCATACCACATCTCCTTATTTGTATATCACAATATATAACTAACATCATGCTTAATAAATAGTGCACCAGAATAAATTTATTTAATTGATTTATACTCAGAAGAACTATTAAAAAGAACATCAGAAAAAATACAAAAATAAAAAAGAATCTACAAACTTGTTTTAACTTCCTCGGTTCCAATATATATTTGTAGTATGCCAGGATTTGATACGTCGAATGATAGCCAATCAGATTTCTCCAATATCGTATTCTCTCCAAATGAATTCAGAGGAAGATATCAGGAACCAAACAGTGGAGGTGTTACGAAATGCCCAGTTACTTCGACAAGAGATCATCCTAATTTGTAGTCCTAGGGATGATCAACATAAACTAATACAGAACGTTCTAAAGGAGGTAATATCATGCTATTACATTAAAAGCTGATTTTTCTTACATAAAATATTCTGTAGAAAATTACTTATTGCTATAAAACGTATTGCAGTTTTTGTTTGAAAGAAAAAAAAAATGAAACAAAAGATACCTAAGAGATATTCAAAACTCATAAATCAAAGAGAACTGTCACCACCATGGCAAGTCGTGTGCTCAGGGCAAGTCGTGTGCTCACGGCAAGTACACATTCAGTGATAAGTCTTATTCGATGATGTAAAGGAGGAGAGAACGGATTATGATAACAATGATTAGAAAGGCAAGTTCTTGAATATCGTAGTAACTATGGAAAGGGATATTTCTTTATTTGTTCAATTAAATTTCTTCACTCTAAATCGTAACTATGAAATTATAAATTTCATAATTTGTCAAATGGAATTTCCAGGTTTGTATAAAACGTATATTTGTTTTTCAATCGAACTATTAAAACTCTCTATCTGTGAAATGTAATTTCTTGGTTTGAGTCACGTATTTGGAAAATATGTCAATGTGATTGTTACCGCTGACAACCAATGAAAAGTTCCGTTTCTTAAGAAAAACTACAAGTTACAAATCAAGAAATTACAAATCAAGAATAAAGTAGTTTCAAAATATTCCACAAGAGGTCGCTGTTAATGGTACACGGCAACTCGTACCTTTACCAACTGGTACTCAACCAACTCATACCCAATATTTACCAACTCGTACTTTGACCCACTCGTTCTTTGACCAACTCATATTTCTACCAACTCGTACTATTTATTTAGCATTAGTATGTTTCATTTTTTATAATGCAGTACAAAAGTCTTATTTGAGAAGTAACGAAATCATACGTTTTCATCCTTGTTGGTAAATAAGAACATATTATCACAAGCTTATAGGCTCCATATAATATTGGAGAAAGATATATTTTTGTTATGAATTCGTTATTATATTACATTGCAACTATTGTGTTTCTTTTATTTTTTATTAAAGAATGACATATACTGAAGTTCTGTTGTAAGTTTAAACCGATAATAATTTCAGCATTCTCTTTTATTCACAGGCAAAGTCATTTGGAAACATCATGGAAAATGAAAGGAATATATTTATTTTCCATGATTCGGTAAGAATTAGTATTGTGTCATGTTTTGATCTTGAAACTGTTTTGATATTAATCATTAATTTGATGGTAAAATGGTTTTTGTGAAACTTTGTTGCGTATAATTTTCACTGCAGGAAAGCTGCAACTCACAACTTTAGTTACAATTATCTCTAGGCGAAAAGAAAATGTCACCATTTAGCGTTTGTAGCCAACATATTACACAGTGACATGACATGTTAGCAAATTTGTTTTTGAGTGTAGGCCGTCCAAACCTTTTACTACTTTTCTTCACCTGTTTCATCTTGAGATTATATTATAGGTTTTACCGCTTCATTTATGGTATTTTTGTGTCTTCACGGCTGTCATAGTTAAGCACCTACAAACCTTTTTTTTACACTGTTGTCACAATGACTTGAGTTAGGTTGCCCGATTCTCATGACATATTAGCAAAATATTATTTGACACAAAATGGCTTTTCGGGACCGTGTCTATCACCACTTTGATTAGATTAGTTGCTGCTCTTTGTTTCTGAGTTAAAGGACAAAAGCAAAAGGTTACCGCATTTTAAAGTTTTACATAATCTAGATATGAACTTTCATTCACTTCCCCTTTACAAGATCTTTCCAACCTAGGGCAATTAAAACCCCTGCTGAGGTAGCATTCATGTGGCTGTGTAAGCTGTTAAAATACTTAGAAAAGGAACTCGTACATATAATAGAATGTCTCGTCTAAGGAGAGTTTCCCACTTTGTGCACATAAAGGAATCCCTGCAACTTTGAAGGATCCGTACACATAATAATTTCTGTCTCATCCAAAATTTCTTCTTTTTCAAGGGACAAAATTTCTGCCCTGCCTTTGCAGAATTGACCCTTTTAAATGATTTTTATTTATACTCGTCCTACATAATGCATAAATTATGTGCCACTGTACATTAAGCATAACAGCAATTATTCAATAGTTAGAAAAATCATTGATTATTTTTTTACAGACATTATAATACAACAGGATCATTTTCAAAAGTCTTTAAATCTTTTGATGACATCCTAGCGGCAAAATCAATACCTAAAAGATGTTTATCCCCCTGCTCCCTTAATCATACTTTTGCTGTCAAATTTCTAGAAAACTTATTTTTCACACCCCCAAACCATTCGGAAGTTTGGTGCATTGATACGCCCTCTGACGAGAAACACTACTTTTTGACTATGTTTCAGTCTATGTACCTTGAACCATTTGATGAAGGACCTATGTATCGACAAGGACTGTTTGAAGCAAAGTGTCAGCTTCTAGCATATCGTTATACAGAGATACGACCCGGAAGTAAATACCTAACAAGTTCATATGAAGCCACTGCTATTGATACTGCACATTTGATACAAAAATCACAGAAACTTTATCTGAAGAAGATGAGTGGAATCGATGAACATGTAGATATATTTAACAGAACGAAAATGATAGAAGCACTGCGTGAGGTAGGAATAATTGATGCAAATATTGTTTAGAATTCGATAGAAGAATGCTTCAGGTAATGTTATATAATTAACTGCAGCAAATATCGCCTTTAACGAGGCGTTTCGTGAAGTAAGGTTAATAGTAATTGACACATTATTGTAGAATTGTGTGAGGCTAGGTTACATGCAACTGATCAAATACCGTACTTTATTAACCAACTTACTACAATATGTATAGAAATGCCCATGCTTTATAAAAGGAAAATTTCGACAACTGGTCATTATGAACGGAGAAATTGCTACAGCCATGCATTACGAAATTTCAGTCATGCATTACGAAATCACACCCGTGCATTACGAAATCACAGCCATGCATTATGAACAGATAAACGGGACATCGATTAAATCAAAATGTCGTTTATTTCTTCAAATAAGTGACAACTTTTTAAAATTTTTTTTAACTTAATATCATAAAAAAAAGTTTAAATGATGTTCAGTGTTTTGTAACGACTTGAAACGGAAATATTACACAGCCTTTTTCGAGTACGACCTTCGATTAAAGATACAGAGGATTATTATCAAAATTTCATTTCCGTTGATCAATTATCAGAACGCAGACTACTCAGAGTAAGAATAGTTAAACTGTCTGATTTATTCTTCCCAGCTACTTTATATTTGCTAGATGAAATGAATTGTAATAGCATAAAATAAAGTACTTGGATGAGAAATCAGAAATTAAATCTGACAATGTTGACCAAAAATCCATCGTGAATGCGAAAAGATAAGTTCAGCTATGAATTCCTGTATCTTCTTCACGGTAAGATTCTTACTCTTTGTTTAATCGAAGAATTAAAACCATTTACGGTAATAAAAGTGTTATGAACTGGCTTTTTTTGTATTGGTCCTGTTATAGATTCGTGGTTAGCTGTATTTGGATCCGAGACTCGAAGACTGTTCTTGAATAAAGTTGCCTTAGTTGGTTAATAAAAGTATCAATATATGGACTTTTTCATATTGGCCCTGTAACATGCCCTTGGTATTAATAATGGCCTCGGACAGTTGTAATGGCCCTCGGCGCTGCCTCGGGGCCATTACAACCATCCTTGGCCATTATTAATACCTCGGGCATGTTACAGGGCCAATATGAAAAAGTCCATACATTAATACTATAATACAGAATTAGATGGAAGTTTATTTGAGACTAGGTGACATGTAACTGACGCAAATACTGTACAGAATTAGATGGAAGTTTATTTGTGACTAGGTGACATGTAACTGACACAAATACTGTAGAGAATTAGACATGTTAGATGGAAGTTTATTTGAGACTAGGTGACATGTATCTGACACAAATACTGTACAGAATTAGATGGAAGTTTAATTGAGACCAGGTGACATTTAACTGACACAAATACTGTACAGAATTAGATGGAAGTTTATTTGAGACTAGGTGATTGTAACCGATTGGGGGTTTGTGTGAGTTGTTACTGGTAACTGACGTACATATTGTACAGAATTGGATTGAAGCTTATTTGAGACTATGGTGATATGTATCTGACGCAAATATTGCGTTACATGTGAAATGCCAAATTAAATGCAAAGCTTTTTTCAACCACATGTTCATTCTTTCAAAACTTCAGAGTTGATTCCCTGACATAAACTGTTTTTTGATGAACTGTACATGTCTCGTTGTTATTTATGCTGAATTTCACCCCAAATATAAAGACTTGTACTAAATTAATAACTTCTACTCCCCGCTAAACTTTATATTTAGAGATAGCACTGGATCTAAAAAATGTCAGAACTTTACAAAAGTTTACTTTATCGAAGTAAACTTGTTATAAGGATCATCATGATATCATGGATATGTTAGCGTCAAAAAATGTTTATCTTTTAAGTCTTTTTAACTTTTTTTTACCTTTAGTCGATATTTAAAGTATAAAAAAATAAGGAAATGTGGTTTGATTGCAATTGACAAAGCTAGCCTACAGAGACCAAATCACGCAGATGTTAGGAACTATTTAAATTGAACCCCACTTCACACTACTAATACAGATTTCGAGACCTGGAACATGTCAATGCAGTGTTGTTTAACTTAGTTTATTATTTTTATTATTTGATTTATTTCTTTTGCAGTCGACATTACCAAATGGTAAAACAGGATCAGTAAAATTCGATTCTGACGGGAAGAGGATTAACTACACTTTTCACCTGTACAACCATGGAGGTACATCATTGTTTAAAAAGGTAAAATAAGGCAACAATATTCAACATATGTTCAAATTAGAAATTTAAGTTACCTACATACCTCATTGCATTAAAATAGCTCATTTAGAAAGCTTAAATCGTATACTTTTTGAAAATATGTGTCGTAAATTTATATGAAAACTGGTGCCATCATGCCTTAAATCAAGGTCAAAGGTCATCACTTAAAAATTCGTATTTTTATCTAGAGAAACAAATTGCAGATTTTTTCAAAATCTATAATCCATTCAATAAATTATACAAGTAGTTTTATTTATCAATGCTTAAGTTCCGACTTAGATGCGTTTCCTATTTGCACATGACGTCAGAATAACGTATCATTTAACTTTTTCGAAGGAAACACGTTTGATTGAAGTTTCAAGGCCAAATAAATAACTGCAACAGAATGACCTTGATCTTTGACCTCGATAAATAGCATTTCTGGACAAGATATACATGCATACATTTGAGAATAATATATTACCGATAATAGAGTATCCAAAATACATTGTCGATAAAATCCAACAACATTTGCAGGTTAGATTTCGTCTCAGTTTTCCAGGATTCGACATGTCACGGAGTCTCTTGAAAACATTTCCCACTGTTAGTCTCAATTCACGATAATTTTTCAGATGATAAAAGAAGTATGAGTTATTAAAGTGACAAGTACGATTAACTTTCATTCGATGGTACTGTAGTGAATGCAAGCGGGTTTTATGATAAATTCAAAAAGTAAGACATGACCGTTGTCATATACAAAATGAAACGTCGAAAAAATTATAGAAGGCTAAAATTCACCTACGACATGAACGAGGAACACCCCAATTAAGTTAGAAGTATTTCCAATAAATAACGTTCATGATATGTCATCTGTGTCATCAGCTATGTCGGCTGATACGGCATGGACATTATTACAATTACCTACATTTTGACAAAGCACAAATTCGTGCAAGGAGATTGATTGATTGTTGGTTGCTTAATGTCCAGTGGCAAATATTTCATGCATGTTCAGGACGAGAACACATTACAAATAAATACAATAGGTAGTTCCTGTAACAGAGGACCTCCGGGATGAAGGTCGGGGAAATTTGGACTTCCACTGGAATATGACTCTCTTTACCAAGAGAACTTACGACTAAAATTGAGAAAACTTACAACTAAAATTGATCGTAAGTTATACTGGAATGTTCATGAGAGTATTTTATTTCTCGTAATATTGTTTTAGAAATGAGTCGCTGCTCCTTGTTAACGCATGCTGCCTGCACATGCTTTCCCCCTTACAAGAACAAACAAGGTCTTGTTGAGAGTCTGATGTCATTTGTCCTTCAAAGAAAACTGGCTCTAACTTGTCATTTTGCTAAATTTCCCAACAAAACTCAGATGGCGTGCTATTATTTGGGTTGGGAACATTTGCCTACACCCAAACTTTGCTTTTTCATAGTGCTAGTACAAATGTAGTACGTGTCGCTTAAACACTAACTCACATGGTGGAAGCTTTATTACACAACTGTTTGTCGATTTATTGAACTTGTATTTAAAGTCGTATAACGTAGTAACAAACACTCTAGCATCATCTATAGCAATATCAACACCACCGTGTGCTAATGCTACATGATTACTGAAGTTGCTTGCTTTCGTCCTAAGGAGGTTGCATACCGACTTTTTACCGATTCCACAAAAACTTATTATTATTATAAAGTGGGCCTATGATGAAGGTAAGGGAAATATTGACTGCCAACTGAGAGGAGGATATGTTGGACAGAAATTAAGCCTTGCAACAGGCCACCTACTGACCCCTCAAAGACTTGTGGCAAGGGTTCTTTAACGTTCAGAGTGGCACTGTCCCTACACATAGGAACTATATACTTCTTAATTTTTTAATTTTAAGCATCAGATAGCAAACATAGCATCAACATGAAAAGCATGGAAAAAGATTGTGGTATATCTGCCCCTTCATTGTTACAGCGTGAAGTCGGCTTTTAAACTTTTTTCGATTTTCCTTTGATGTTATTCGCGGCTTTAAAAGCGATAGAAATGTCGCTTGCAAATAAAATGTTCGATGTACCATGTCCTTGTTTAGAAAAGAACACTATGGCATCTATGTACTGCTTCTTAAGTTTAGCCTTGAGTTTAGAGTAATTGCAGTAGGTTTTACTAATTTTATTTGGTAAGAAAGACAGGTCCATTATCAACATTGATCAAATTACAAGAGTCTTTTTGTCACGAATAATGTCTTTGTCTATAATTTTAACAACTCTTTGTGTAATTTGGTCTTTATGTCAAGCATGTGGTCAAACGTGCAGCATGATAAACATCGTTATTGAGCAAATTCTCTTGCTTTATTCGGTATATTATATCAGTAACATCATTTAGATTTAAAAATCTTCTATTATGGTATGTAATGTTTACACTTTCTTTGAGAAATCTTCTTGCAAATTATACACTTTAATGTTTCGAGAGCCAAGGACAACATTACTTTCAACCAACAAAGAATTGGACAAATCCGGCTTCATATCTAATGCTTCTTTTTCAACCGTGCTACTGATTTCAAATTCTGTTTACTTGTATAGCTTTTAAAGCAAGACCTATGATACATATGGTTGAATCAGTTTACGTATCATTACATAGGTCATTGAAATAAATAAATAAATCATCACGTCTTACTGCTGCAGCATTTAGCAGACTTTGTTTTCTAGATTCTGTTGCTAATCTTAAATTTCAGCAAATACAAAATTGCAGGTAATGTATTTGTCAACTCAAACTTCAGAGCACCTTTTCTTGGCATCGGACGGAGCCAGTTTTTAAAAAACGCACCCTACAATGATTTTGACTTTCACGGTTAAATTCAACAAACACGACTAAACAACAAAATGTGTCGGTTCAAGTGTGACAATTATCCGGAATTGAAATTCTCATAAAATGCAGATGTTTAGACAGTTATATTGCTTATTACTAATTTTCTTCAAAAAGTAAATCAAGTTGATTGAAGTACTATACGACGGCTTTACGGTCGTACCTTTACAAAACACATTTATTGCACGTGCAAATAATGCTAGGTGAAAAAACAGTGATTTTTTTTGTGTTTTTTTCCCACAATTTTCAGATGGTCTATGCTTTAAATATAGCTCTCATTAAAAATGCCTTTATAATGTATAAAATTCAAGAGTAACCCTATTAACCAATTAAGTTCAAAAATCATGTTTAGAAAAGGGTTAATTATGAGATTAGTCTCTCGAAACTGTAGTGGGGTCTTCGGTGACAGTTGGGTAACGTCAGTTAAGGTCGTTTTTTAACGTCATTGTCACCACATTTGATATTTACGACAAATATTTTTTTGAAGTTGAATAATCGATAGACATTTTAAGACATTAATATTCCATGAGGTATTTAGGTAATTCAAACTCATTAACTAAGCGTCTTTTTCAACAATTGACGCACCACTAAATCTCGTAAATAGATTAAGAAGAGATAAACCAAGAAAAACAAATAGAATCGCATGCACTTCAAAAGAAGCAAGACAGGTGCGTCGACAGGGTAAGCGTCTTCTGTTATGCATGCATAACCCGCCATACGAATCAACACTCAGAATGTCACACTCTAGAATAGGACACTACATGTAACTATAGAATTATACTCCTCATCTGAAGGCAATTCACCAGTATAACCACTTAAGAACCTCAATGTATAAAAGGTATAAAAGGATAACAAAAGAATCATATTCCTACCTCTGAAGACACATGGTTCGCTGGTCTTTTCTACTCTACAACCAATGAGACATTTCACTGTATATATGAAAGTGTAAATATTGCATGTAATAGATTTATTTTCCTAATGCTGGAAGAGCATTTCCTGTTATTATCACGGGTACAACTACTAAGTTACTTCACTATATAAACGAATAATTTAAAAATCATATTCCTACTTAATGAATGAAAAAGATTGGCTAATCGACTTTTCACTGGTTCTACAGAGACACTTCACTGCAAAAAATATTGACTATGGACCATATTCCGAATTCAAAAGGGAAGGTATGCTGCCATTTTCACCTACTAGTATACAACTTAAAGTAACTTCACTGTATTAAAATGTAAGTGCAAAACTGAATGTAAGAGGGTTGGGTTCATTGTATAAAATAGTAAGCCACAATCCCTTTCTATTTTCCTCGATTATGACAGCTCCCAATGCGACTTGTAAACGATTTTTTTAATTGCAATGATAATGAGTAACACGACAAGTGCTACTAGGGGAGCAGGGTATGCTTACCTTTCCGGAAGCCTGAGATCACTCACTGGTGAAAAAATGATGTTACTTTAGTGTTTTGTAGAATTTGTTTGAATTTTCGTCGTTTTTCCTTACTGCATATTGCATTAATTGCTAATTTATTTATACAATATTGATCAACTTTCGAGGGATTTGAGCGTTTCTGATGAATATAAATCTAGAAAATAGACTTGGACGCACCAAACTAGTTAAGTGTTTTTCTTGTGATTTCGTTCTGAATATACATATTTTCTTATTGACGGTAAGCAAGCATCAATTAGTCAATCTTTTTTTGTGTGTGAATGATATTATTTCTTTTTAGATTGGTGAATGGAGACCAAAAGGTAATACTACGCGTGACAGACTGGTTCTTATTCCTGTCAATGACACGCAGGAAAAGGACACACGTGGTATTTTCCCAGACATTGTTAAAGTTGTATTTGTTATGGTAAGAATTGAAAGGGATATATTAGTGGAGAATATTTCTATAAAAGAGGGACAGACAAACTCATAGATCGAAAACAAACTGACAACGCCATGGCCAAAAATAAAAAGACAAACAGACAAATAATAGTACGGATGACACAACATAGAAAACTAAAGACTAAGCAACACGAACCCCACCAAAAACTGGGGGTGATCTCAGGTGCTCCGGAAGGGTAAGCAGATCCTGCTCCACATGTGGCAACCGACGTGTTGCTTATGTTATTACAAATCCGGTAAATAATCTTATTCGGTAGGTCACATTCGTGAAAATGGAAGGGTATTGTAGTTACGACATAAGGAACATATCCGATATTATCTGTGAAAAGGTTATTCCATAACGGTCAACCAACTCGTGATGGCGTCCGTAAAATTTACGAAGGGATAATTTCAACTTCACCATTTGGAACTCTTGGTTTAATAGCTTCCTTGTGAGCAGCAATCCTCTATCAAGGAAATCATGATAGGAAATACAAGCCCGGGAATATCGTATCAATTGGGAGATACATACTCCGTATGCAGGCGCTGCTGGAATGTCGTATCAATTGGGAGATATATACTCCGTATGCAGGCGCTGCTGGAATGTTGCTACATAGAAATGGAAAGTTCACAATTGGGAAGCTGAAATCATCTCTTTTGTCGTAAAGTTTTGTTTTCAACCGACCATAATTGTCAATTTCTAGATGTAAGTCATGATATGAGGCAGACTTAACTGTATCTGTAGTATCCTTTATCTCTAGTTCGATGGGATAGATTCGTTCAACAAAGTCGCCAAATTTTGTATTATTTAGTGAGAGAACATCATCTATATAGCGGAACGTAAAGTTAAAGGATATTGCTAACTTCTTATCTTTCTTCCTAAGAAGTTCCTGTATGCTCCTAGCACAACTGAACTTAAACATTCGGCTATATACTCATAGCAAAAATAAACATCAAACTTTCATAAGTCTGTTGATGATACAAATAATCAATTTGTGTTTAAGTCTAAATACACGTCATATATTTAAACATCACATAATACTTACTACTCGTAAAATAACTTAACACCAAATTAATGCTAAATACTCGAAACAAAACTAAACATCAAACGTCTATAAGGTTATCAATAATACATGTAACAAAACTAAATAATTTAATTTTGGATGTAACACGTCCTCTGATTGGCTGACAGTGTTTTGTCTATCAGCTCAAAGACATAATTTTGTCATGTGACCGCGACGTCATCAACATTTTTATCATGGTTTACTCATTTTTAGAATTAAATTATAAGGAATGACTGTAATATTTTTTCTGTCTATTCGAAATAACATAAAAATTGTTTGTCCAGCGTGGCATACTTTTTTGTTGTTGTCGTAATTTTAGGGTTTCAAATTATTTGGCCTTCAATCTCTTTTGATTTTAATTCCACTGACTGGTCTTCAGTAAACATAACGCAAGTCTGGTGTACTAAATTATAATACACGATATCTTTGATCCATATTCACATTTTTTTCAGAATTCTTCAACTTCCAGTAGTATTCGACACTTAGAATTTTTTTTGTCATTGATTTTTTGTGCAAAGTAGATGTCAAGTTGAGTTATTTCTAAGCGTGTCTTCAGATCTCATTGATCCTTATTTTGTATATGTGACAATAATGTATGTAACATTGAAGGATACTGACATTGAAGCAAGAATAAACACACAACTAACATATTAACCTTATATTTGCAGAGATTTTGCATGAAAACAATTAACATGATAGAAAGTTTTACTCCATATTTACAGGAAGAACCGTTTATTATGAACAAACGAGGCAATGTTGGATATGAGGGCTTTACAATAGACCTGTTAGAGGAATTATCTAAGTTACTCTCATTCAAATACGTTCTGTATCCCAGTCCAAACAATGCATATGGATCAGAAATCGACGGCCAATGGAACGGAATGATAGAACAAGTCAGGACAGGGGTAAGTTAGAACTAACAATAAAGAGTTATTATACGAACTCCTCTAACAGGTTTTTTTTATTTAATATGAACACAATTTCATGAAATGTTATAGAAATATAAAGTTATATTATATGTATGACAAAAAAGTGTAAAGACACTAGAAGATCAATCAAAATTATACAAAAACATATTTACTTTACGGCCTTCAACACGGATCCTTGGCTCACACCTAACAGCATGCTATAATTGACCCCAAAATGACTAGTGTAAAATAATTTAAACAGGAGAACAAACGGTTTAATCTATAAAAAAACGAAAAACGAGAAACACTAACCTTCACCCTAACCTGAGACAGTAGTGTAACATTACAACATAAAAAGACACACTATCAAATATCAATTGAAATGGCTTAACTCGATCAAAAAGACATTTAAACAAAAACACTAAACGAATAAGTTTGGTCTATAACACAATATAAATACAATATTAAAACGTAGGTGCCTATATAACATAGATGTTACAGGTAGTAATAAAAAAGATGTAGAAAGAGTGTCAATAAGACAACTCTCAACTGGGACAAAATAGCGTTAAATAAATCAACGTACACAGGTAAATTTAAATATAAAAATTTTGTTGTTAGGAGTACAAAGTAAACATTTTTAACCAAATTAATAAATTTGTTGTTCAGAGTACGAGTACAGAAGTGAAAATTTATCGTCATACTTAATACTTAACACACCATCAAAGGTTGTACATATTAAAAATAGTGAGACGAGGTATAATACGAAATAAACAGTTCCGATAGTGTGATATCAGCTGATTATATAATTTTATCAGGTACCAGTAAGTGTTGATATTTCCAGTAGTTAATTCTGGATGTGTTCTGTCAATAACGGGTGTAGTAAAACATTCCTAAATTCTAAACTGTGATAACAGGATCTTCATAGGGTTATATGCAGTCGGTGTGATGTCTTCTGTGCATCTAGTTCATCACTGTTATATATTCATAATATTATTAATTTCATATGAAGTTAAATCTGATGTCATAAGATACCATGTTGTTTTGAGTGTATTATATATATAATAATTTCTCTATGATATCATTCAATACCTGTTCGAGTTAATTTTTCTTGCATTCTCTAATACGATACTTCTAATATTTTGTTTCACTCATTTGTATTTTTATTGTTAAAACTTTTTTGAAGTCTCCAACAGTTCTAGATAATCGAAAAGGGAGTTAGGAAGATTTTTTGTTAAAAACAAAACAACCGTTGATGGGGATTTAAACAGGTAAAATCAACACACAAGATATTGCATCTGTCTAAAGTTTCGAACCTCAGTGTGGTTTTGTCGTGTCTTATCTGTTTGCTAGTTTATGAATTAATTTGATTATGATGGTACCCATTGAATACTAGTAGTCAGCCAAACAATCGTGTATGAAATCTATTTTGGCTATAGAGGGAAAAATCATCTGCCTATCGCACATTACACATCTTTTTTTTAACGGAATTAATACATATTAAGGCTGAACAAAATTCTTTAGAAGTGTTCGGTATTTAAAAAAAATAATATTCTATCATCAATGAGTATCTGCATCAAGCATATGTTAACGATTATATATTAATAAGTTTATGTATATTTCAACAGAATGCTACGTTAGGCATGGGAGCCATATCTATTACATCAGAGCGTGAAGAAGTTGTAGATTTCAGCCTGGGTGTACTCAGTACAGGAGTCAACATGTTAATATCAAAACCAAAGGAACATTCTTCAATATTTCAGTTTATGCGTCCATTTACACTTGAGTTATGGATGGGGATTTTAGGAGCAACTGTTATTGTCTGTATTGTCTATCTAATGTTAGACACAGGCAATCCAGACAGGAAGTTTACTCTTAAAGAAGTGCTCTGGTTTTCTGTCGGCACGTTATTAATGAGGGGAACAGATTTTTCACCTCGACCAAGTTCACAGAGGATTCTTACTGCTGGTTTTACTTTCTTTGTATTAATAACTGTCTCTACGTATACTGCAAATATGGCAGCATTTTTGACAAAAGTTAACCTAGATCAGCCTGTAGAGACATTAATAGAATTAGCAGAACGAACAAATATACAAGTAGGGACAATAAATAATTCAGCCACAATGCGTTTTCTTGAAAGCTCTGAAGATAGTACGTACAAAACAATTTGGAAGCGAGTTCTGGAGAGTAACGGTCTTGTGACGAATTCCAGTCAGGGTCGGCAGCGTTCTGGAGAAGGAAATTTTGCATTTATTTATGATTACCTTATTAATTCATATTTCGAAAAGAATTACTGTAAAACTAAAATGTCTGGTCAGCCAATCAGATTACAGGAACACGGCATTCTAATGAAAGCTGGTAATCCTGCTAAAACTTCAATTAACATTGCTATACTACAATTGAAAGAAAAAGGATTTATTACTAGACTCAGAAAAAGGTTTGTTAATTTTATTGGTAAACTTATATTGGTAAGTTAGACCTGAATTTGCATGAAATATTTGCCACTGGATGCTTTTCCAACAACACATGATTATGTGTTAGTCATAAGCTGTGTTTTGATGTTTATTCAATAATACATGTCATAAGGTATTTACAAGGTCTGCTTTATATTATAAAGGGTTAAAATGATTACACTGTTTCTGTGACATCATTGTTCTTTGCATTTTGTGGCGTGGATATCGAATAGTTTATTTACAGGTGACATTGTTCTGTGTTTCTCAGTTCCCCTCGACAAAACAGTTTTTAATGTCCCTTTGGTATCTCAAATCTCTGTTTTTCAATCAATGCAGAAAATTACAAATTTAGATAATTTGTCAATGGTGTGGCGACAGCTTGTTGCATTGTGCAAACCTTTCATGTCACGTGGTACGATTTCAGCGACCCATCGGCAATTTTAGATATGGCAGATGTTCATGTGTTTATATCAAATGTACTCTTTTGCATTCATGGTAAATATCGCAAGTTTTCACATAGAAAGATTTTTCGATGATAGAAAATCGCTTTACTTCAAATATTTACGGTATTTTGAACTTTGAAAAGCTAAATGCAAAATTGCTGTCCCTTTTTAATATACCCTCATTTTTCAGTGGCAGTCCAAATTTCTTAATCTTCATCCCGGACGGCCCCTTTTACTGGACCTTTCTTTATGTATTTATTGTTAACTTGTTCTCGTCCTGAACATGAATGAGATAATTGCCACTGGACGTTAAGCCAACAATCAATCCATCGGAATCTGCATCTCATATCTCTAGAAACTGAGTTATCTTTCTTTTACTGATATTGTTGATTGATGTAAGTATTTAAAAATAAAAATTTCAAATCCACTTGTCTGGGGTAAAAAAAAGGGTGCTGTTTGGATCTTTTTAGAATCTAACAGGGCATCATGTCGTACTTATCAACAGGCAAAGTACTTATAGGTTAAACACACAAGTACACAAATGTTATAATTACAATATAAAAATACAAATGTGATTTCCATTGCAGATGGTGGGAGGATAAAAGACAATGTTCCGACGCCGCAATGAGTAAAAGTGTTTTACAAGTAGAGTTTGGAGTAAAGCATATGTCTGGAGTGTTAATTGTATTGTTATTTGGTCTGGCATTTTCTGTAGCCTTCTTTTTATTTAAAAAGTTTTACGTTTTGTCGAAGCAACAAAAATCTTCCAAAAAAGAATCAAAAGGGAAAGAAAACGAAGACAAGGACGGGGAGACCAAAAGTATGCTAGGCGATGAGGATACAAAAATATTTGGTAACGAGGAGACAAAGACTGTATTCGAAAATGAGGAGACAAAACCGGTGTTTGGTGGCGAGGTTCCTATAGATTTGGAAAGATACACTAACGTCTATGACAAAGATTAATTTTGTCAGATCATGAATCATTGTCAAGAGGAATATTATCTCTAGGTTGATATATATGTTAAAAAACTTAAGACGTTTCAAATTAATAGCAGTTATAAATTAAACTGACATCCAGAAATACTGCTTATTTCGAAGCAAGGGCCGTGTGACTATGTTCATTAAATGCCTTATACATTATGATTTATGAAGCACTGTCCTTTTATTGTGTGTATAATCCTTATATTTGTGTTGTTGCTGTTACATATACATTAAACTAATGCACACCAAGGCACGTAGCATGTCGATTTTAAAAAAAGTAGATAAATATAATTGTTTTACTGTTTTGTTTTTACTGGTTATATAATTGACTTCATTCAAGGATGAACTTAGGTGAGATTTAGAAATTTTTGTTCGGACTTCTTGGTTTTTTTTCCAATAAAAGGTCATTTACCAAAATTTAAGCAGATTCTAGATTTCTTTTCTTTCGATTTGAGACCCAAATTATACCAATGCAAATATAAAGTAAAAGTCTTAGTCAGCCTTTTCCCGCCATTTTTAAAAATCAAATATCTGGAAAAGGAGGTCCATAACCTATCAATATTTTAAGCTTATTCTGCTCCTTAACTAATGCTCTTCTGACTTATAGTATCAATTTTAAATTCTAGATTTTTTTTTAATTTCACCTAAGTACATCCTTAATATGTATACTCCATATTAAATGTAGATTTCATGGTATGTTTGTCAATTAGACAACTATCTACCAGAGATCATTGGGCGAGGATGTAAGAAACTATAAAAGGTCACCGATCTTCAACAATGTGCAAAACTCATACCGTATAGTTACTAGTATAGTATATTAAAGGCACAGGCATACCAAAATGTGAAACATTTCAAACGGGAAAAAATCAACAGCATAAATCATGTTAAACCAATGAACAAAAAAATAAGATGTGAAACACCAACATAAACAATCACTTACAACAGTTTCATTACTTATGACAGGCAAACAAGAGAATGTGGCGGGTTAAAGTATACATTGTGTGTGTGTGAGCGCTCATCCCCACCAATTTTGGACAAGGGCGTAACAGTACAAGATAAGAAAAAAGACTGTAAAAAAGAAATGAGCTTGACTCATCAAATCGGTGGTAGGCAAAAACAAATGTAAATTTTGGTCCGTATGAGGTGATAGTCTATGTTCCAGGTTGTAGTGTTTACGAACAGATATCAGGTGTAAATTCGAATCGAAAGACGGATTATACATACAAAACATGAAGATGCACAGGAAGCACACGTAGTCTCAATTAATTTCTTTGCTTACCTTCAAATTTCGTCCGAAATACACACACAGACACAAAGACACTAAACATACAGACAGACAGACACACACACACACACACCCACACACACAGAGGTGCATAAAAATGCAGCGGGTTTAAACGTTTTAACAGGCGCCAACCTTCACCCTAACATGAGACAGTAGTGTAACATTACAACAAAAAAGGACACTGTATAAAATATCAGTTGAAATGGCTTTACTCGGATCAAAAAGACATTTAAAAAAAAACACTGAACGAATAAATTTGATCTATGACACAATAAAAATACAATAATAAAACGTAGGTATATAACATAGACGTTACAGGTATTAATAAAAAAGATGTAGGAAGAGTGTAATAAGACAACTCTTAACTGAGACAACATGGCGTTAAATGAAACAACGTACACAGGTAAATTTAAATATAATATTTTTGTTGTTAGGAGTACGAAAGTAAACATTTTTTACAAAATTAATAAATTTGTTGTTCAGAGTACGAGTACACTTTCAGAATTGAAAATTTATCGTCATACTAAATACTTATCAAAGGTGGTACATATTAAAAATAGTGAGACGAGGCATACTGTAAAAGAAAACAAATCAAAATATAAGTGAAATACACATATTGGAAAATAAGATTAAAAAATTAAATGAAAGTAATAAAAGAAATTGTAAAGATGATGTTATTAAACATTTTCAAGAAGAATTAATTTATAATGAATGTAAACTAAGAAAACTTTATGAAATAAAAAGTAAAGGAGCTCAAATAAGGTCAAGGATAAAATGGGTAGAAGAAGGAGAGAAAAATACTAATTTTTTTTGGGGTTAGAAAAGCTAGACAAACTAGAAAAACTATAACTGCCTTAAAAGATGACAAAGGAGTTGTACAGACAGAATCTTCTAAAATTTTACAAATAGAAAAAGAATTCTATCAAAATATTTATAATAGTACAAATCCAGATGTGAAATACATAGATAATTATATTAATGATGCAAATATTGATCATAAATTAAATACACAAGATAATTGATATAATGGAAGGTACTTTAACCATTGAAGAATGCACGAAATCATTATTCAAGATGAAATTGAACAAATCACAAGGAATTGATGGACTAAGTGTTGAGTTCTATAGAACCTTTTGGGATAAATTAAAAGAATTTGCTGTATCTACATTTAACTATTCATATAAAAAAGGGGAGTTAACGAGTTCTAAAAAATTAGGAGTAATTTCTCTTATACATAAAAAGAATGATCCGCTTTGTTTAAATAATTATAGACCCATAACTTTATTAAATATTGATACAAAATTAATTGCATATTCATTGGCTCAGCGCATTAAAAATATCCTACCAAAAATTATTCATAAAGATCAAAATGGTTATGTTAAAAATAGATATATAGGTTACTATAATATTAGACAAATCCAGGATATAATTGATTATGCAGAAAGATTTAATATAGAGGGGCACTACTATTTTTAGATTTCTCAAAAGCATTCGACTCTTTAGAATGGGATTTTATGATTTCAGCTTTAAAAAATTTTGGATTTCAAAATTCTATGCTTAAATGGATTAAGACTTTATACACAGATATTAAAAGCGCAGTAATAAATAATGGATGGATATCTGAACCCATTAACATTCAACGTGGAATCCGACAAGGATGTCCGTGCAGTGCTATAATTTTTGTTATATCAGTAGAGATATTAGCCTGTAAGATAAGGCAAGACCATAATATTAAAGGCTTTGAAATTAAGATAGATGGGAAAACACATTCATTAAAAATCAGCCAACTTGCTGATGACACGACACTTTTTCTAAAAACACAAGAAGACATTTCAAAAGTTTTAAATATGATTGAAATTTTTGGCACATTATCAGGGCTTAAATTAAACAGATCAAAAACAGAAAGCATTTGGTTGGGAAAACATAAACACTAAAGAAAAATACGAAAACATCAACTTTACAGACAAACCAGTGAAATGTTTAGGAGTTTTTTTTTGTTGTAATAAAAATGTGTTTCAAAAACTCAATGCTGAAAAGCAATTAGAAAAATCTGAGAAAATAATTAAAAACTGGGAGAAAAGAAATCTAACATTGTTGGGAAAAATAACAGTTATCAAATCACTTTTTTAGCATCTGTTTCACACATTGACGAAGAATATATTGATAAATTTAAAAAAATTATTTATCAATTTTTATGGAAAAGTAAAATAGAACAAGTTAAACGTAAAGTATTAAGCTATGAATTGCTAGATGGTGGTCTAAAAATGATTAACATAGATAAATACATAGAATCAATCAAAATTGGGTGGTTTTAAAGATTAATATATGGAGATTAAGCCAACTGGAAAGTTATACCATTATTTTATTTTAATAGATTTGGCAAGAACTTCCTTATCTTTCATATGAACATTGATGGTATTAACTCAATTCCAGGTTTAAATAAGTTGCCAGAATTTTATTTGAATGTAGTAAAAGCATGGGTAAAAACAAAAAAATAGAGCAGCCTAAAAACTTCAAATCTATTCGTCAACAAGTAATTTGGGGAAATCAATTCATTAAGATAAAAAAAAAGTCTTTTATTTCAAAACTGGATAAATAGCAATATCATCTATGTAAACGACATTATAGATGAAAATGGTAACATATTGGAGAAACATATTTTACAAAAGCTCAAGACTAAATATAATTAAATGTCAGAATTTTCTCAATTGAATAAAGCCTTTCCAAAAGAATGGCTTAATATTTTACAACAAGAAAATTCAAAGAAAACTAAAGTAAAAACAAATTATGTTTTATACATTAAGAAGAATTGTAATTATATAGAAAAAATAGAAAATTTAGACACTAAAAAAATTTATAATATATTTATTCAGAATAAGTGCCTGTTGGTTTTAACCGATGGAAAACAGTGTTAAACATTGAGTATATTCAGAGTTCAACATGTAATATATTAAAATTTGTTCATCATTATTTGAAAGAAAATAAGTATAAAGTGTTTAGATGGAAATTGTTACACTTTATTCTACCTTGTAAAACTTTATTAAAACAGTGGAATATCTGCAATACTTCAAATTGTCATTATTGCAATACCACTGAGGATTATGATCATATGTTTCTGAAATGTCACTTTCCTGATGACTTCTTGAGTAAAATACAAAATCTTCTTGAAAAACTGAATATTGATAATAATATTCTAACATTGAAGAATTTAGTATTCGGTTATAAGATTAATGATGAACAATATTATGAAATCAATTATTTGATTACATTAATAATGTTTTGTATATATAAAGCTAATTACATGTCTGAACAGAAAACAGAATCTATAAATGTGTATGCTGTATTTAAAGCAGAATTTATGTATTGTTACAAACTGCAGGCAAAATGTAAGAATACAAAATATAAATGTATTCTAGATAAAACTGCCAAATTGTTAAAATAATTTCTTTGTTTGAGAAGTATATGATCTAGCAAAAATAAATGGATGAATAAATTGATAAAAGAGATAAGTTTTACAAATTACACATCTGGAACTGATCAAGTAATATAAATTTTACCTTTCACAGCTACTGTACATGTACATGTGATGATTGATAACGAGACTATTTACCGTTACAAAAAGAAGATTAAAAAATGAAATATTTATTTAATCTTAATCTTATTTATACTACAGATAATTTTTAATACAGACATACCTGTGAATATGCTATATCACATCTGTTTTTTTAATTTTTTAAGTCATGGCCGGTGTGACAATATTTGTTTCAAAACCAGGAAGATGTTTGATAGAAAAACAATTCACCCGTTTACGGAGGAAATATGAAAAATTTCCGGAAACAATACTCAAAAATCAATTATTGCTAGATGATATATATAGTAAATTGTTAAACAAATAAGTCTCATTGATATATACTTGTTAATTTCATTGCTGATAATTTTATAAATTAGCTGTTATATTAAAACTAATGTTAATTTAATATAATGATGCTTACCAGAAAACAACCCTGGATTTCTGTTATTAACAAACAGGGACTCTTCACTGGAATGCTGGAATAGTGAAGTACATTGTTAACAGCAGAAAGTACAATTAGTTGCTGTTGAATAAAAAAAAAAAAAAGAGACGAAGTATATCACAAAATAAACAGTTCCGATAGTGTGATATCATCTGATTATTTAATTTTATCAGTTACCAGTGAGTGTTGATATTTCCAGTACTTAATTCTTGATGTGTTCTGTCAGTTACGGGTGTAGTAAAACATTCCTAAATTCTAAACTGTGATAACAGGTTCTTCATAGGGTTGTATGCAGTCGGTGTGATGTCTTCTGTGCATTTAGTTCATCACTGTGATATATTCATAATATTAACAGTATTGTTCATTTTATATGAAATTAAATCTGATGTCATAAGATTCCAGGTTGTTTTGAGTGTATTATATGTATATAATAATATCTCCGTTCATCCTATTTCGAGTCGATCCTCAAAATTCAAGAGTCTATCCTAAATTGAGGTAAACTGTATGGCTTTCCAAATACCGTTTCGATTCCTAACATCACTGAAGAGACATTAATTGTCGAAATCCGGATATGGTGTACAAAAACCTTTGCACCTTTTGTTTGCGGTATACCATCTTTTCCGCAAGTTTATTAGTTTTTGGTTAGTATTAAATTTATAATTAAGATCCATTTATTACATCGGTGATCCGTTTATTTGGCAATCGCCAATGGCAGTCAGCAGGGTTTAAGAAGATTTGTTGTTCGACCTGTTAGTCAAATGCGTTTTGTTAAAATATACTTTTTTACTTTTTTGGTCTTTTGGAAAATGTTGTTTGTGCTGTATTTTAACCCCTCTAACAAGAAATTTGTTTTGCATGCACACGTATAAAAATTGCGGTTTTTATCCAACGCAATCATAGGTTTGAACGTTGTTTTCAAATTAGACTCTATGATATCATTGAATACCTGTTGGAGTTAATTTTCCTTGCATTCTCTCATACGATACTTCTAATATTTTGTTTCACTCATTTGTATTTTTATTGTTAAAACCTTTTTTAAGTCTCGAACAGTTCCAGATAATCGGAAAGGGAGTTAGGAAGATTTAAAAAAAAAAAAAAAAAACAACCGTTGATGGGGATTTAAACAGGTAAAATCAACACACCAGTTATTGCATCTGTCCAAAGTTTCGAACCTCAGTGTGGTTTTGTCGTGTCTTATCTGTTTGCTAGTTTATGAATTACTTTAATTATGTTGGTACCCACTGAATAGCCAGCTTAAACAATCGTGTTTGAAATCTATCTTGGCTAGAGAGGGAAAAATCATCTGCCTATCGCACATCTGTTTTTTCTTACAGAATTAATACATATTAAGTCTGAACAAAATTCTTTATAAGTGTTCGGTATTTATAAAAATAATAGTCTATCATCAATGAGTATCTGCATCAAGCATATGTTAACGTTCTGTGTTCTGTCGGCACTTTATTAATGAGGGGAACAGATTTTTCACCTCGACCAAGTTCACAGAGGATTCTTACTGCTGGGTTTACTTTCTTTGTATTAATAACTGTCTCTACGTACACTGCAAATATGGCAGCATTTTTGAAAAAAGTTAACCTAGATCAGCCTGTAGAGACATTAATAGAATTAGCAGAACGAACAAATATACAAGTAGGGACAATAAATAATTCAGTCACAATGCGTTTTCTTGAAAGCTCTGAAAGTAGTACGTACAAGACAATTTGGAAGCGAGTTCTGGAGAGTAACGGTCTTGTGACGAATTCCAGTCAGGGTCGGCAGCGTTCTGGAGAAGGAAATTTTGCATTTATTTATGGTTACCTTATTAATTCGTATTTCGAAAAGAATTACTGTAAAACTAAAATGTCTGGTCAGCCAATCAGATTACAGGAACACGGCATTGTAATGAAAGCTGGTTATCCTGCTAAAACTTCAATTAACATTGCTATACTACAATTGAAAGAAAAAGGATTTATTACTAGACTCAGAAAAAGGTTTGTAATTTTATTGGTAAAGTTATGTTATTAAGTTAGACCTGAATTTGCATGAAATATTTGCCACTGGATGCTCTTCCAACAATACATAATTATGTGTTAGTCATAAGCTGTGTTTTTGATGTTTATTCACTGATACATGTCGTAAGGTATTTACAAGGTCTGCTTTATATTATAAAGGATAAATATGATTACATTGTTTCTGTGACATCATTTTACTTTGTATTTTGTGGCGTGGATATCGAATAGTTTATTAACAGGTGACATTGTTCTGTGTTTCTCAGTTCCCTTCGACTTAACAGTTTTGAATGTCCCTTTGGTATCTCAAATCTCTGTTTTTCAATCAATGCAGAAAATTTCAAATTTAGTTAATTTGTCAATGGTGTGGCGACAGCTTGTTGCATTGTGCAAACCTTTCATGTCACGTGGTACGGTTGCAGCGTCCCTTCGGCAATTTTAAATATGGCAAATGTTCATGTGTTTATATCAAATGTACTCTTTTGCATTCATGGTAAATATAGCAAGTTTTCACATAGAAAGAATTTTCGATGATAGAAAATCGCTTTACTTCAAATATTTACTGTATTTTGAACTTCTCTGTTGCAAGCTAAATGCAAAATTGCTGTCCCTATTTAATATACCCTCATTTTCCAGTGGCAGTCCAAATTTCCTAACCTTCATCCCGGACGGCCCATTTTACAGGACCTTTCATTTGGTATATTTATTGTTAACTTGTTCTCGTCCTGAACATGCATGAGATATTTGCAACTGGACGTTAAGCCAACAATCAATCCATCGGAATCTGCATCACATATCTCTAACTTATAAACTGAGTTATCTTTCTTTTAATGATATTATTGTTTGATGTAAGTATTAAAAAAACAAAAATTTCAAATCCACTAGTCTGGGGTAGAAAAGGGCGCTGTTTGGAGCTTTTTAGAATTTAACAGGGCATCATGTCATAACAGGCAAAGTACGTGTAGGCCAAACACCAAAAAAACAAGTTTATAAAAAGAAATAATTATCACACAAATGTTATAATTACAAAATAAAAAATACAAATGTGATTTCCATTACAGGTGGTGGGAGGATAAAAGACAATGTTCCGACGCCGCGATGAGTAAACGTGTTTTACAAGTAGAGTTCGGAGTGAAGCATACGTCTGGAGTGTTAATTGTATTGTAATTTGGTCTGGCATTTTCTGTAGCCTTCTTTTTATTCAAAAAGTTTTACGTTTTGTCGAAGCAACAAAAGTCTTCCAAAAAAGAATCAAAAGGGAAAGAAAACGAAGACAAGGACGGGGAGACCAAAAGTATGCTAGGCGATGAGGATACAAAAATATTTGGTAAAGAGGAGACAAAGACTGTATTCGAAAATGAGGAGACAAAACCGGTGTTTGGTGGCGAGGTTCCTATAGATTTGGAAAGATACACTTACGTCTATGACAAAGATTAATTTTGTCAGATCATGAAACATTGTCATGGGGAATATTATCTCTAGGTTGATATATATGTTAAAAAACTTAAGACGTTTCAAATTAATAGCAGTTATTAATTAAACTGACATCCAGAAATACTGCTTATTTCGAAGCAGGGGCCTTGTGACTATGTTCATTAAAAGCCTTATACATTATGATTTATGAAGCACTGTCCTTTTATTGTGTGTATAATCCTTATATTTGTGTTGTTGCTGTTACATATACATTAAACTAATACACACCAAGGCATGTAGCATGTCGATTTTAAAAAAAGGAGATAAAAATAATTGTTTTACTGTTTGTTTTTACTGGTAATATAATTGACTTCAATTAAGAATGAACTTAGGTGAGGTTTAAGAATTTTTGTCAGATGTTCGGACTTCTTGGTTTTTTCCTTACGATACAGGGTAAAATATTTATTTATTATTATTGCATCTGTCCAAAGTTTGGAACCTGAATGTGGTTTTGTGGTGTCTTATCTGTTTGCTAAAATTAATTTGATTATGGTGGTACCTATTGAATAGCCAGCTTAAACAATCGTGTTTGAAATCTATCTTGGCTAGAGAGGGAAAAATCATCTGCCTATCGCACATCTGTTTTTTTCTAACAAAATTGATATATATTAAGGCTGAACAAAATTCTTTATAAGTGTTCGGTATTTAAAAAAATAATATTATATCATCAATGAGTATCTGCATCAAGCATATGTTAAGGTTCCGCTAAAGTCAAAATTATGTTCAACTTAAAAGTTTAATATCAGACTATATACTGGATAAAACATACCATATTATATATCAAAATCCTCCTTGTGATGAGCACTATTAAAATTAAACAATTCTAAACTACAATATATGTTCATAAGTCAAATATTATATATACAAGTAGGTCCATTTTCCAAAAAATCCAGTTATGTCCTAAGTATCAAAACCCTGAACAAAAGACCTTAAAGTATAAATCAAGTGTCTATCTAGTACAAGCTATCATTTATTAACATTAAAATACATGCAACAGGTCATATTCAGTGGTTGAAATATGTCGTATTAAAGAACAATTGATGGCTATATTTGATTTGGAACTACTTTTTTTCAAAGTATGGATCACAGTTTGGCTAATTATATTTGTGAATCTTACAATATTTTAAATATTATTTTGAAAATGAAATTTTGACTTGGTTTGATACAATTTATGTTTAGTTACAAATAATGCAAGCAACTGTAGCAAATAGTTCCGTGCAAAACTTAATAAAAAAAAAAGGGGGGGGGGGGGGGGGGTTAACATTACAAATTGATTAAACCCTTTATTCTTTCAAAACTTCTTGTATAAAAGTAATCAACATTATGGCACTAGATTCTAGCATAACATCATTTTAATTCAAGAAACTGTCTGTGCATTCATGTTATTGTTTTACAATATTAAGCATGAAAACCCATTTTTGGTATTTTGGATCTAGTATGTGCATAATTTTGTTGAAATACCATATACAATATGTAGATATAAGTAACAATAAGTCAGTTTAACAGAATTATATATTAGTTCAATAAAAATCAAAATAACTGGCATATTAAATATGATATT